TGATCATCTTTTATTGATTTCTGCTGCAACCTGAGATAGATAGAATCTGATTAGGTTGTTAGAGCTTCTTCAATCGGTAGTGGTGAATCGATTATACAAGAGTTAGTCGATTTACTGCTTTGTACAGGAATTCAGTTCCAGTAGTGGAGTTCTGTGTTCATAGCCTCAGCTTTCTATCCCGGTGAGGACTAGTCGTCTGCCAGGTAGTTTGACTGAGGGGGCTTGGTCAGCTTAAGAGATTCCAAGCTACTGTCGGATCTTCCGCAGTATAATCAACAGTAAAGCAACCAAAAGTAATTACAACTGTGACCTAACTAAGGAGCTAGGGGGACTCATTCCCGAGTGACTCTTCCCTTGCTTTAGAAAACCGAATCATTTCCTGCTTTCTTACTGCTTTTAGTTAAAACCAAAATCACTCGACTTAGTTTGCTAGATAATAAATAGTCACGGAGTAGGCAGTAGATCTAGGCCCCGGGTTGACAAATAGAGCTCGCCACTTACTACATTTCCGGACTGCGATTACACTTGGTCGCAGTTTGGTGTTGTGTTTGAGCGTGTTACATATCTGACTGCCGATCGAATACGATAGATTGAATCATCAACATCCTTTAATACTTGCTGTTTAGAGATTTGAAATGTCTCTGATGCGGTGCTATAGAAAGATTAAACTATCATCCTTGCTGTTTAGAGATTTCATCATTAAATTTAATAGTGGCTTGATAACAGCTCTAACCTTAATTGAGTGGTATGGGAAGAAATCAAAGAGATCACTCTATTGTTACAGGGGATGATCTCATTGGTATTGATCGTCTCAAGGCCAATCTTCGTGCCTCTTTCAGTCTGAAGGATCTTGGCTCTCTCTCTTACTTACTGGGCATTGAAGTTCACCGTTCTGATCGCGGCATTCTGTTGAGTCAGCATAAGTATATTAATGATATACTGGAAGATCATCGGTTCGGTGATTTCTTCCCGGTCCGCACTCCTATTGAGCTTAATCTGAAGTTGGGTAAGGATTCTGGTGAGCCCTTAGGCGATGGTTGTATCTATCGGAGTATGGTCGGGAGTCTAATCTACCTGGTTGCTACTCGGCCCGACATAGCCTACGCTGTGCAAGTCGTTAGCCAGTTCATGGCTGCTCCGCGGACTGCTCACCTTGCTACTGTGCATCGCATCCTGCGTTATCTCCAGGGGACTCGTGATGTCGGTTTGTTTCTTCCTGCCTCTGGTGATTTAAGCTTACGTGCTTACTCTAATTCTGACTATGCAGGCTGTATTGATACCCGTCGTTCCACGACGGGCTGGTGTGTCCAGTTTGGTGATGCATTCATTTCCTGGCGTTGTAAGAAGCAGGACAAGGTTTCTAAATCTTCGACGGAAGCTGAATATCGGGCCATGTTTGATGTTGGTTCAGAGTTAGAATGGTTACATCGTCTTCTTGGTGATCTTGGCGTTACCGTTGCGTCCTGTCACATGTGGCCGATGACATGGCGCCAACAAGGTGACAACAAGGCTGCACATGTGTCATGCATGGAAGACTAGTAGCATAGAGATGCTCCTAGGATTCTCCACCTTAATAGAGAGCTTAATGGTGCACTTATTAGCTACATTATGGTAGTATTTATAGAGTGCATAATGGGGGGACTTAATGGGTGTATTGATGTAGTAGAGGGACATTATGAGGGGCATTGATGCCTTGTATGAGGAGAGGCCTATATAAGGAGCCATCTCCCTCACTTGTAACTCATTCCATCATTTTTGAGAGTAATACACACTAGAGAGTTCTCCCACTTCCTCTGTCTTGTTCTTGTTCTTTGCTTTCAAGTGAGTTGAGAGAAAGGCTGCCTAGCGCTCTAACGGATTTGAGAGCTAGGGCCGCACGATCGAGAGTAAGGTCGTGACAAGTGGTATCAGAGCCTGGTTCGGCTTTGTGCTAGCAAAGTTGAACCTGAGCCAGAAGGAAAGGAAGAACCTCACCAAAAATGTCGGGATCAGACAGCGGCGTTACCGCCGACGAGAGGCGCGGAAGGGATCCAACCAAGCATCCCAAGCCAAAGGGTGAAAAGTCAAGCACTCGTGATCCTATGGCGGCACTGGAGAGGCGAGTCTCTCGAATGGAAGTGAAGTTGGCGGAAGACATCACCGCCATCGAGGATTTGGGAGGTAACTTCGCCCAAGTCCAAGGCGATGTTCAAGGAATGGCTGGTCGGTTGACAAGCTTGGAGATCAACCACGATGGGATGCGGGAAGAGCTTGTGGCCCTCATCAACAACACCATCGCCGCCTCCATGAACAACGCCCTTGAAGTTCTGAAAGAGCAAGTCCAGGCTGAGCTGGTCGGCGTGAAGGAGGAGATTGCAGACCTCAAGAGTGAGGTCACTCTCGTGAAGAGAGCCATGGCTAACGGACCAGCCACGGTGCAAACCGTCCCACGTGCTGATGTTCCAAGACCGAAGAACTTCGGAGGTTCAAGGAACGCGAGGGAGTTAGAGAACTTCCTTTGGAGTCTTGAGCAATACTTCAAGGCATCCGGCATCCAAGAGGATGAGGTAAAACTTCGTACCGCTCCACTATACTTGGTCGATGTTGCAATGGTGTGGTGGAGGCGACGTGAAGCGGACGTCGAAAGAGGTACTTGTGTGATGGTAACGTGGGAAGATTTCAAGAGAGAAATCAAGAGGCAGTTCTACCCGGAGAACGTGGAGTTTGAAGCCCGTTCGAAGTTGAGAAGACTCACCCAGAGGGGTGGAGTTCGAGAATACGTGAAAGAATTCTCGGAGCTGCTTCTAGAGATCCCGGACATCACGGACAAGGAGGCCATGCACGGCTTTCTTGATGGGCTGCAACCATGGGCCAAGATGGAGATGCAACGTCGAGGAGTGCAAGACCTTGCAACTGCCATGGCCACGGCGGAGTCTTTTGTCGAGTTCAAAAGGCAAGAGAGCAGCGGCAAAGAGAAGAGTTCGAAGCCCAACAAGGGTGGAGAACAGCAGAAGCCTTTCAAGGAGGGCACTCGCGCTCAACAACACCAAGGTGGTTCGAGCAAAGGGGGTAAGTACGAGCCAAAACCCATGTCTTGCTTCCTTTGCGACGGACCACATCGAGTGCGGGATTGCCCAAGGAAGGCGAGATTGGCGGCCATGGAAGCTCAAGAAGAGGAGCCCAAGGCGGCGGAGGCCAAGATTGGCTCAATCCGCAAGCTTGGCGCGGCAAAGACCGACGTCAAGGAGAGCAAGCGTGGGAGGTGCTATGTTCTGGCGCAATTCATGCAAGGCGAGTCAAAAGCCTTGGTGGATACCGGTGCCACGGACAACTTCCTTCGCATCGAGGAGGCAAACCGGCTGGGTATTGCTTACGAGAAGGGGCAAGGGAGGCTCAAGACGATCAACTCGGAGTCCATCCCAATCCATGGAGTTGCTCACAACGTGCCAGTGAAGCTTGGCGAGTGGGAAGGTCTCATCGACTTTTCCGTCGTCACCATGGACGATCACCCAGTCATCCTCGACATCAACTTCCTCGACAAGGAGGGAGTGCTCTTGAAGCCCAACTCCAACACGATGTGCTTGGAGAAGGAGGGGGAGTTTCACACGATCCATCTCTTGCGAGAAGATGGCCCCCATAGTGCTCTATCGGCCATGCAGGTATTGAAGGGGTTCAAGAAGAATGAACCAACCTTTCTTGTGTCCTTGAAAATGGAGGAAGAAGGAGGCTCAGCGGGAATCACAACTCCCATCATCGAAGGTGTCCTCGAAGAGTTCGACGACGTGATGCCATCGGAGTTGCCCAAGAAGCTGCCACCAAGAAGAGAGGTGGACCACAAGATCGAGTTGGAGCCAGGAGCGAAGCCCCCTTCGCGAGCACCATACCGCATGTCGCCACCGGAGCTAGAAGAGTTGCGGAGGCAGCTCAAGGACTTGGTGGACGCAGGCTATATGCGGCCATCGAAGTCACCTTTTGGAGCACCGGTGCTGTTCCAAAAGAAGAAGGAAGGGTCGTTGCGCATGTGCATCGACTATAGAGCCATCAACAAGTTGACGGTGAAGAACAAGTGGCCGATTCCCAACATTGGCGATCTGTTCGACCAGCTTGGAGATGCTATGTGGTTCACCAAGCTGGATCTTCGCTCGGGCTACTATCAAGTGCGGATAGCAGAGGGCGACGAGCCAAAGACCGCTTGTGTGACGAGGTATGGCTCTTACGAGTTTCTTGTGATGCCATTCGTGTTGAAAGAAGCTCGTCATTGACAAAGAAGGGAAGAATCAGGAAATCAATCAGAAGAATATAAGGCAAGTCTCAAGAAGGAAAGACACTGATCATGGAAATCAAACCACCAATTACTCTCCAACGGCTAAATCAGAAGAATTGACAAGGCTATAAATCATGGATGAAAAGAAGAAGACGGTAGCAATTTTTCAAGAGAGCAAAAGTAGTCTGTTGTGTGATCAATAGGAAGTCTTTTGAAGAAAAATTGTGTAACCAGGTCAGGGAGATTTGGAGAGGATCTGAGTGTATAAACGGGGAGTGAGTACATCAGATCAGGGTCGGTTAGCTAGGCAGGGAGCTTGGCAAATTCGATTTGCTCTTGTAAAGAAGAACAAGTGAACAAGCTTAGTGCTTACGTAGGAGATCTCAAGAAGAGAATCTCCTACCGTGGATTAGTCGATATTGGGATACTTATTCTCCCAATATCGGATACCACGTAAAACTCCTTCTGTTGCTTTTCCAGTTTCTGCTGCTGTGATCTCTGTTATTGTTGTTTCTAGGTTGAAGCTGAAACAGGGGAGTTGCAGAGTGAGACTCTGATCAGGCAACCCGACGCAGGAGTTGGGCTTTGGTCAAACTTGGCCCGCTCGTCTCAAGGAGCAAACTTAAAACCAATTTACAGCTGAAGCCCAATCCAACCAAAAAGACTTCAGTTGCATCGACTCCAAAACGACATAAGCATTCATTCAGTTTTATTATTTCTGTCTTTGTATTTGTTTTCGTGATCTCAACACTTGATTTCTGCTGGGTAAATTAGGGTTCTTGCAGAAACAAAGAAGAACGAAATCGAAAGAAAAAGGGAAGCTGGTCTCGCGCTCGACCACCAACAAGTGGTATCAGAGCCCGGCTCCGGTGTTGAAAGGCGAAACCGTCTCCGGAGAAGATGAGTTCGGGATCAGCATCAACAGGGATATTCATGGCTGATGGCTTCTCGCAAACTCGTCCACCACGATTCGAAGGCGTACACTACGGCTATTGGAGAAACCGGATGGAACTCTTCATCTGCTCAACAGATCCAGATTTGTGGGATATCGTATTAGACGGACCACTGGAAGTAAAGGAAGCACGAGGCAAATGGACAGATACAGATAAGAAGAACTTTCAACTCAACTCGAAGGCGACGAACCTGATGTACTGCGCCTTGGGACCAGAGGAATACCACAGAGTAACTGGCTGCAAATCGGCAAAAGAGATCTGGGACAAGCTTCAAATCGCACATGAAGGTACATCTCATGTCAAGATCTCAAGGATAAACAGCCTGAAACAAGATTTCGAATCATTCATTATGAAGCCCGAAGAATCAATTAGGGAAATGAATGAACGATTCACTGCTATTGTAAATAGCCTGAGAAACCTGGAAGTGGAATACGCTAGTGCTGATTTGGTCAGGAAGGTGCTCTGGGCATTACCAAAGAGGTGGACGCCTAAGGTAACAGCGATCGAGGAATCCAAAGATCTCACCAAGCTAAGCCTGGACGAGCTTATTGGATCTTTGGTTACACACGAGGAGAAGTTGAGGAGAGAAGAACTGGAGGATTCAAAGAAAGAGAGGAAGGGTATTGCATTCAAGGCTACATCACAAGAAGATGAACTGGAGTGTCTTGAAGAGATGGAAGATGAAGAGCTGGCCATGCTGAGCAAGCATGTTGCTAAGCTCCTGAAAATGAGAAGAGAAAAGAAGAGAGAAAACTTCCACAATCGTTCGAGAGAAGGAGACATCAGTAGAGAACCAGGCAAGGGAAGCAGACATGTTTTTCGAAACAAAAGAGAAGGAACCAGCACTGATCGACCTCAAAATCAAGCTGGCTGTTTCAAATGCGGGAAATCAGGGCATATCAAAGCTGATTGCCCCTTGGTCAAAAAGGAGAAAGCCTATGCGACTTGGAGCTGCAGCGAGGAGGATGATGACGAAGATGAATCAAGTCAGAGGATCAGTGCATACATGGCAATTGACAGAAGCGATGATGAGGAGTCTCAGGTAAGGTCTTACTACTCTGACTCATTTTCAGAAGATGATCAATTAGAGGAAACCATAAAAGATATTCAAAAAGAATTCGTGAGTGTCAAACAGAAACATATTTTAATTAAAGCAAAATACGAAGCTTTAGAATCTAAGTTTGAATCATTAAAAATTGAAAAACTTAGCCTAGAAGAAAAGATCAGAAAGTTGGAAGATGAGAATTTAGTACTGAAGGAACAAAACCAGGAAGTTAACAATAAGTTAACCAAAGTTAATAACAAATCTAAATTCAGTCGGTCTGAAAGCTTGTATTATGGTAAACGTACTGAGTGTTTTTACTGTCATAAATCAGGTCACTACATTGCACACTGTAAGAAAAGAATCAGTAAGGAAAGTAAAGAGAAATCTGAATGTAGCCATAACGTAAAAGCACAGTATAAGCCATTTAGTAGTAGTTATCAACCTTGGAGAATAACTAAAATGGTTTGGATACCTAAAACTAAATAGAAGTATATGTTTATGTGCAGACCTGTCTCCAAGTGAGCATGGAAGGCAGTGTGTGGATTCTAGACAGTGGATGCTCACATCACATGACTGGTAACAAAAACCTTTTTACAAATTTAACTTTAGAAAATAAAGGAAAAGTCTTCTTTGGAGATAATTTTAGTACTGAAATCCTAGGAAAAGGAACAGTAGGAACCGTGCCATCCATAAGTAATGTTTTGCTTGTAAAAGACCTAAAACATAATCTTTTGTCTATAGGTCAGATGTGTGGTAGTGAAAACCGAGTCATTTTTGAACAAAACAAGTGTTTTGTGGAAAACATTCTCACTGGTAAACCTATTTTCACTGGAAACCGAAAGGGAAAACTGTATACCATTGATCTTAAGGATAAGTCTGCATTCAATGAAACCTGTTTGGTATCAGTTGATAAGAATGATCAGTTTGAGTGGCACAGGAGATTAGGGCACATTAGCATTGGCATACTTTCAAAACTTGTTAATCTAGGAATTGTTAGAGGAATACCAAAACTCTTGAGCAAAAGAGAATTTTTCTGTGATGCATGTGCTAAGGGAAAACATACTAGATCATCCTTCAAATCCAAAACAGTTATTTCCACCTCAAGACCCCTAGAATTGTTGCATCTTGATCTATTTGGACCTAGTAACATCATGAGTCTAGGTGGAAAGCATTATGCTTTTGTGATTGTAGATGATTTTTCCAGGTTTACCTGGGTTATGTTTCTTGCAAGTAAAGATGAAGCATACCAGAACTTTAAGGAATTTGTTAAAAAGGTCGAAAATGAAAAACAATCAAAAATAATGAGCATAAGGAGTGACCATGGAGGTGAATTTATATCTGAGAAATTTGAAGGTTTTTGCAATAAAAAGGGTATATCTCATAACTTTTCTGCTCCTAGAACCCCTCAGCAAAACGGGGTAGTAGAAAGGAAGAATAGGACACTGATTGATATTGCCAGAACCATGTTGAATGACTATGGCTTGCCAAAACAGTTTTGGGGAGAAGCTATTAACACAGCCTGCTACGTCACTAACAGAGCTCTTATTAGATCAAAACTAAATAAAACTCCATATGAGCTGTGGAAAGACAGAAAACCAAATCTGAACTACTTTCACCCCTTTGGGTGTAAGTGCTTTGTCTTAAATACAAAAGATCACTTAGGAAAGTTTGATTCAAAGTCTGATGAATCAATTTTCTTAGGTTATGCCACAAATAGCAGGGCATATCGTATTTACAACAAACGGACCCTCAAAGTTGAGGAGTCCATCAACGTGATATTTGATGAATCTTGTGGCAAGTGTGCAGAGAATTTAGATGAGGATGATGACTTTGGGCTGGGAACAGCAAACAGAGTTGAACAAACTCAGAATACTCCAGAAACTGAGGATGCATCACGGGAAAAGGAGAACTCTGAAAGAGAACAGGAGGAGAATCATCAAGCCCCTCCTCACATAGCACGCAGACATCCTCCTTCTCTCATCATAGGAAATCTCAGTCAAGGTATGATCACTAGATCCAAACATCTTACTGGACATACAGCATTTATAGCTCAATTTGAACCTAAGAACATTGAAGATGCTATAAACAATGAATACTGGTCAGCTGCCATGCATGATGAAATGAATCAGTTTGCTAGAACTCGAGTTTGGGATCTAGTTCCCAGACCTAAAGATAGAATTATTATTGGAACAAAATGGGTATTTCGAAATAAAACTGATGAATTAGGAATCATAATTAGAAACAAAGCTCGATTAGTTGCTCAGGGGTATTGTCAGGAAGAGGGGATTGATTTTGATGAAACCTTTGCTCCTGTAGCTAGGTTAGAAGCAATTCGTCTTCTGTGTGCTTATGCAGCTTCTAAAGGTTTTAAATTATACCAAATGGATGTCAAAAGCGCTTTTCTGAATGGTGACTTAAAAGAAGAGGTGTATGTCTCACAACCTCCTGGGTTTGAGGACTTTGAACACCCTGACTATGTATATAAACTCAATAAAGCACTATATGGTCTTAAGCAAGCCCCTCGGGCCTGGTATGAAAAACTTAGCAATTTCCTATTAGAAAAGGGATTTCGCAGAGGACAGGTTGATAAAACCTTGTTTATTAAAATTGCAAATGAACATACCCTTTTGGTTCAAGTATATGTGGATGATATCATTTTTGGCTCAACTAGCCAACAGCTTTGTGCAGAATTCGAAACTGATATGAAAAACGCCTTTGAAATGAGTCTTATGGGAGAATTGAACTACTTTCTTGGTCTGCAAGTAAAACAAACTGATAAAGGCATTTTCATCAGTCAATCTAAATACTTGAGTAATATGCTAAAGCGATTTAACCTTAACAACTTAAAAGAAGCTTCTACTCCCATGGGGGCTTCTGTTAAGCTAACCAAGGATGAAACTGGAAAGTCAGTTGATATTAAAAAATTTAGGGGCATGATAGGGTCTCTTTTGTATCTTACGGCTAGTCGACCAGACATCATGTTCAGTGTGTGTGTCTGTGCCAGGTTCCAGAGTAATCCCAAAGAGAGTCATTTGTCCGCAATTAAGCGGATCTTTAGATACTTAGCTGGAACTTCCACTCTCGGCCTCTGGTACTCCAGTAATTCTAGTCTAGATTTAGTCAGTTACACTGACTCAGACTATGCTGGATGCACAGTTGATAGGAAAAGCACTTCTGGTGCATGCCACTTTCTAGGTTCTTCCCTAATATCCTGGTTTAGTAAAAAGCAGAGTTCAGTTGCCTTATCTACTGCAGAAGCAGAGTACATAGCAGCTGGTTTCTGCTGTACTCAGCTTCTATGGATGAAATATCAGCTAGAAGACTATGGAATTTCCCTAGGATCTCTTCCTGTTATGTGTGATAACACTAGTGCTATCAACATGACAAAGAACCCTATACAACATTCTCGGACCAAACACATAGAAGTTCGATACCATTTTATTCGTGATTTGGTACAAGAAGGGAAGATTCATCTAGAATTCATTAGCACAGAACAGCAATGGGCAGACATTTTTACTAAACCATTACCCTCTGACAAATTCATTCCCATTCGTCGAGAACTTGGACTGTTCTCACTAGGAGAGATAGAGGAAATCCTTTAAGATTCTGTGCTATCTTAATTACCTTACTCACTACGTTCCTTCCCCCATTTCCTCATCCGATAAATCAGGCAGTCAGCCTCTGGCTATGAGCTGTAAACCTCTTACCTTCCAAAACTTGGCTCATCGAGTCCTTTTTATATCTAGGATAGCCTCAGTCCTCTCAATTCATATCAATTCACAAACCTCTTCCAAACCATGGCCTTCAACAACTCTCAACTTCGTCCTGCTGTAGTTTTCAAAAATCAAGGCTTTCGCAGTACCATTGTTCACAATAGGTATCTGCGCTGCTATCGAGATCGGTCCATTTATCCATCCTTCACTATTCATCCTTCTGCCTTCAATAAGTATGGAATGGATATCCCATCCCTCCTTTCCGGGATTGGCTGGTCTTCCCTCAGTGAAGATCAACGTTTCCTTCACTGTCCTGAATCTGTCAGACAATTCTATGTCAATCTGCGACGAGGCAGAGGAGCTGAGTCAAACTCCTTTACCACCCTCGTACATGATCATGAAGTCACTGTCAGTCCTGATCTCCTTGCCTCAGTTCTTGATCTTCCCCACTCTGGTCTTCAGGCTGGCTTTGATGACGAGTTCATTGAACACGGCTTTGACTTCTTTGAGGTTCTGCCTCAATTGACTCGTGACATTGGGAGATTCTTTCCAACCAGGCTT